AAAACAAAAGTAAAGTGCAAAACAAACAGTTTACAAAGTCCAAAGTGCGTATGTCTCTGAGACCAGGTCCAGATGAGGAGAATGTTAAGTTTTTTACACAGTAAAAGTGTGATTGTCTGGTCCCTGTCTCATGGCCCCTCTCTGGGCGGCACAGTGGCACAGTGGTTAGCACTTGTGCATCAAAGAAGGCTCTGGGTTTGATTCCACCTCCAGACCTTTCTGTGTGGAGTTTGCATGTTCTCCCTGTGTCTGTGTATGTTTCCTTTGGGTCCTCCGGTTTCCCCTACCACTAAAAACATGTGCAAAAGTTCCAACTTTGTAAAGCGCTTTGTGACTCAAGTCTGTAAAAGGTGCTATATAAATAAATAATACTTTCTTACTTTCTCTGGTCTCTCTTTGATCTTTGCCACTTTTATGTCTGAAAAATCTGCTCTAAAGATGTGACAGAGACCAAAGACACATGGAACTAGTGATAGAAGCTAAAGAGGTCCTGGTTTGAAAGTTACGTCCCCCAGCTTTAATCCATGCAGTAGTCACACACATTTCTCTCTGATTTAATGAAACTGTTTGGCTTCACCTCAGACTTGTATTTCAAATGGGACATGAGAGCGAATTCTGCCTCAATTGGAGAGAGGAGGTGATGAACCCTCAGCCTCTGTCGAACCTGGAGGTTATTGAGCAAGACACGTTCATTAGACGCCAGCGTGTATGAGGAGTGGGCCGAGTGTGACATCACCATAGTGTTAGCCTCAGTGCGAAAGTGGTTTTTAACAAAGCTGGAGCTGATTTGCAGATGTATTGCCCTCATTATGCTGGTTGTTGGTTGTTGGGCAAGTCCATGAGGTTTTACTTGTTTCTGTTATTTCAAAGTAATGTACAATATTACTGTCTGTGTGTAAAGTATTACTCTACTACTGCATTACTTTGGAGTAACTTTCGCCAAATCTATATAAACAAACTAAATGTAGCTCTGATAATGTTAATGACCTAGTTTTTGTTGTTGTTGGTGGAATGCCTTACATCACAGAGTTACGGCATAAACAGTAATTAGGCACTTTTGGGATGCAGTACTCTCAACACTGTTGCTAAGGCACGAATGAAGGCTTCTGATTGGTCAGTTGTTATGGCTCATATCTGGAAATACAAAGACAATGTAAACACCTGCATCACAGAGAGCACTAAACCAGTGCGACACAAACGGTTACGGAGGTAGAGGAGAGTGTCCGTCCTCCAAGTTTAGTCAAATTTCAGTTTTTGTGATTTTCTCCTTATTGTTGATGATGTAAACATTTTAAATCAGATTAAAGATTCAGTTGAAGCTGAACTTGTCAAAATGAAATGTGCAGCTGGAGGCAATGATTTTTTTGAGTGAAAGTTACATATTTAAACTTGTCGCTGCGGAGTCGCTCCAACCTCAAAATCACGATTGCGCTGCTGTCTCCATGGCAACGGTTCACACCTCACTCCAAACGTACGGGAAACTGAAATTATATTTAATTTGAAAATTAATGAATACAGCTACAGCTACTACTGCTGCTAATGCTACTGAATCTGCTGCTGCTGCTGATAATACATAATGTTTTATTTAGAGCTTTACAAAAAACATTAAAAAACATTCACATCATTATTCACAGGCAGCATGAGTGGAGTTTGCATGTTCTCCCCTGTCTGCCCCATCTCTGTGTGGAGTGAGGGACAAATGTTCAGGCTACCATTCCATCCCATTGGCCCCTCCCACCACCAACCATTCACACAGCAGACTCAAAGGACAAAACCACAATTTGACAGTTTACAGCTGCAGCCACCCCACTGTGGCATCTGGTGTTCCCAGAGGTTTCCCATCATAGTATCTCTGTCTGTCTGTCTGTCTATCTGCCTCTGTCTCTCTCTCTCTCTCTGCCTCTGCCTCTCTCTCTCTCTCTCTCTCTGCCTCTGTCTCTCTCTCTCTCTCTCTCTGCCTCTATGTCTCTCTCTCTCTCTCTCTCTCTACCTCTGTCTCTCTCTCTCTCTCTCTCTCTCTCTCTCGCTCTCTCTCTCTCTCTCTCTCTCTCTCTCTCTCTCTCTCTCTCTCTCTCTCTCTCTCTCTCTCTCTCTCTCTCTCTCTCTCTCTCTCTCTCTCTCTCTCTCTCTCTCTCTCTCTCTGTGCCTCTGTGTCTGTGGCTGTCTCTGTCTGTCTGACTTTCACCTGCATGTGGTGATAAAACTGAATGAAATGGTATAATAGAAAAGACATTAGACTCGAGATCTTCCCCAAAACAATATGAAGACTAAACGTCAGATTTCAAAGGTTCATCACCGGGGTTGAGACGGGAGAATGTGGACAGAAGGGAAGGGGGACGTGTTTATCTTCCTGATGTCGATGTGGATGAGTCTTAATGGGTGGCACAAGTACCCATACTGGTAGCGGGCCGATAACAGCCTTGTATTCATACTCATACCATAGCGGCACGGTGGCTGAGTGTTTTGCACTCTCGCCTCAGCAAGAAGGTCCTTGGTTCGAATCCTGGTCGGAACAGGATCTTTTGGAGTTTGCATGTTCTCCCCGTGCCTGCGTAGGTTTCCTCCGGGTACTCCGGTTTCCTCTACCACTAAAAACATGCTCACTAGGTTAAATCCTTCAGCTCCAGTAGTCCTGACCAAGTATTAACATCTGGAGATGGGTTCCCGGGCGCTGTACTACGGCGACCACTGCTCCTGACGATGGGTCAAATGCAGAGGATTGAATTGCCCAGGGGGATTAATAAAGTGCACCTTTACCTTTACCATAGGACTCGATGCGGACAATGGATACCCACATTTTGAATTTACATTAGGGTCACGACAGCAGACAGCGAGAAAGCTAAGCTAGCGGCAAGCGGACAGTATGGTGACCGAATGGCAGTGTTTTAAGTAAACAAGAGTGACGTAAAGCAAACATGTATAACAGCAGCAGATCAAACATCTGAAAACTCATCACTGCGCAGAGTAACATTTTCTAACACCGCAGCTTTTTATTTGTAGCATTTATATGAATGGAAGATGAAAGTGGCTCTTATTGTTGACTGCTAAAACAATTGCTGTAATGTTTAATTTTTAAAGCATTCTATTATTCGAAATTAGAAATTATGTTGAAATTAGAAATAAAGCATTTTAAATGTCAGTTTTATGAATTTCCAGAGATAACACTATGTACTTGTATTGGTATTCGGTATCGGCAAGTACTCAAATGAAGGTACATGTATCAGTTTTGAAAAAAGTGGTATCAGTGCATCCATAATATAAACACAACACCAGGTGTGTGACTGATGAGAAACAGTGGTATGACATGGAGAAATGAGAACAATGTGTGTGTGTGTGTGTGTGTGCGTAATCTATATTTATATAGTGTATTTTTACACATTTTAGAAGTTTCCCAAAGTGCTTTACAATGTTCAGAGTTCAGATATTGTTCCATTCTCTCCACACGGTGATAACGAAAGCGAGATGACACACTGGCGCATCAAAGCCTCAACCAACACCATCCATTCACTCACTCATTACATTCAGACCTATTGTGCATGTTTTTAGGGGTTGGGGAAACCGAAGCGAACAGAAGTGTGTGCGTGTGTGTGTGTATACTAGCTGAGGTACCACAAGGGTGCGTATTGGACCCAATGTTATTCAGATTAGGAACAATGTTGGAGCATGTAGAAAAGCTTAAAAACACACACTATAACCGCTCCAGAAGTTAATGCTTGGATAAAAGGCTGACGCTCTGATGTTTAGTTGACATTTATTTAGAACAAAGCCACCTAAAGCACCATGAAAAACTACAATGCACATGTTATATATAAAAAAAAAAAAACAACATATGTTCAACAAAATTACAATAAAACATTATACAAATATTGTGTGCACCTTTTGTCTGAACACTACTGTAGAGTTGTCAGTAGTTTTTGATGTCCTTATTCTTACTTTCAGTTCTGCACGATGTCACCTCGTCCATCCTTCAGCATTATCTCCCTCCATCTATCAGTTAATTAGCCTGGCCTTATCCATCCGTACACTCCGCTCAATCACCATTTCACTGCATGTAAGGTCTGGGTCTAGTCCTCATGTTAGCGATTACAATCGGTTGAATTTCAACCGACCATTCAGAGAGCGCGGGAGGCGGGTGTTGTAGTTAGTTGTGGGTGACGTCAGGAGTTTGCGTCGAACAGGAAGGTTGTGGTTTGGCAGTGGCAAAAAATGCGATAGTAAAGTAATCCGGTCTGGTTCTGTCAAGAAATTGAAGCCGGAGCAAGAGGAATGTTTAGCAAATGTAATCGCTGGAAAAAATTGTGGCGCTAATCCCCACGGGCTCCATTAGCGGCAAAGGAGATGGCTAGGCTAAATGCTAAATGCTAACCACAGACTCGGACGCACTACATATGTCACGGTAAACTCAGATCCAATCGTTTCAATCTGCAAAAGGATTTAACCCCTCCTATCTGTAAACGGAGCTCAATGGAGCACGTCCAGACCTTAGTATGAAATGTCATTTGCACTATGGTGTGGTACGACCAGGCTATCAGTTAATGTCTCCAACGCAAGTTTGCAATTCCACCACAAGGGGTCAGAAGTGCCACAAGACTACACAATTATAAACAGAATTATAGTACGAATAAACACGTAAACAAAACATGTTTACTGACAGCTACACACATGATTTACCAAATGTGTTTTCAGAGGTCTACTACTACAAATGCTAATGCTACCGCTACTGCTGCTACTATTATCATTACTACTATTACTACTACTTCTACAACTACTGCTACTGCTACTACTGATGCTTTAGACTTATTTTGAGAAGTTTAAACTTTAAACAACACGCCTCTCTTTCCCGTGACCTTGTGTCCACCTCTCACACGTCTCTTTCTCCTTTCTTTCAGGTCATGCCTCTCTCTGCATAGCGCCCACCACCCGGTTGCCATGGCGCTCCCTCGCCCTCCCCTCCACGCTCATGTCTCGCTCTAGGATCTGACGCGTGAACCTTCTGGAACATGCCCCCTCCCCTTCCTCCTCCTCCCGCCATGCTGCCCTCTCCTGGCCCTCCCTGGCACTGCACCATGTCCTCGTCGTACCTTCTGACTCTGCTGCTGCTCTCCTCTCTCCTGCACTCGCACCTCTGCCTCCTGCCGCAACCTGTCGTCACCACCAACTACGGGAAAGTGCGCGGGACCAAAGTCTCGCTCCCGAACGAGATCTTAGGCCCCGTGGAGCAGTATCTGGGGGTTCCGTATGCCTTGCCGCCGGTGGCAGAGCGCAGGTTTCAGGCCCCGGAGCCGCCGCTGTCCTGGCCGGGGATCCGCAACGCTACGAGCTTCGCCCCCGTCTGCCCGCAGCACCTGGAGGAGGACCGCTTCCTGCTCGGAGACATGATGCCCGTGTGGTTCACCGCTAACCTGGACACCATCGCCCAGTACGTTCAGGAGCAGAGCGAGGACTGTCTCTATCTGAATGTCTACGTGCCCACGGAGGACGGTGAGTACAACCTTCTGTTTCCAGTTAGCCGCTCTTTTGCGGTTTGTGATTTACTCTCTGGTCTCTCTCTGGTCCCTCTCTTGGTCTGTGTCTGGTCTCTCACTGTTTTCTCTTTCTGGTCTCTCTCTTTCATCTTTCTTGTCACTCTCTGGTCTTTCTCTGGTTTCTCTTTCTTTTTTTCTCTCTTTCTCATCTCTCTCTAGTCTCTATCTCCGGTCCTTCTATTATCTTTCTCCGGTCTCTCTCCGGTCTCTCTCTGGTCTCTCTCTGGTCTCTCTCTGGTCTCTCTCTGGTCTCTCTCTGGTCTCTCTCTGGTCTCTCTCTGGTCTCTCTCTGGTCTCTCGCTGGTCTTTTTTTCTGGTCTCTCTCTGTTCTCTCTCTGGTTTCTTTCTGGTTTTCTTTCTGGTATCTCTCTCAGGTCTCTCTATGGTCTCACTGTTGTTTTAAAGTGCGGAAATGTGTATGAATTGTGTAATAAACAAAAAACAATGGGTAAAACCTTTTTATTAAACCTTGTTTGTTGTTGCCGAGCTTTGGTACTTTGTTGTTGCTAGGTAACAAACTACCTGCTTCATCGGAAAGAAATCACTTCACGTTTAGGTTTCCTGTTTGTGAGGGACTAGGACAGTGTGCAGACAGAGATAACAAGGACTGTTTTAGACCTGCTTTAGGACCTGCTTTAGACCTGCTTTATACCTGCTTTAGACCTGCTTTAGTCCTGTTTTAGTCCTGCTTTAGTCCTGTTTTAGATCTGCTTAAGTCCTGCTTTAGTCTTGTTTTAGACTTTCTTATGTTTCTTCTTTAGAGTCTCTGCTTCTGTCTGTGGTCCTGGGTCCTGCCTGTCGTTGGCCTGATGAGGACTGGACCCAGAGATTGTGTTTGAGTGTCAAGTGTATTTTTAACTTTTGAGCAAGATTAGAAGCTCTTTGGATATGGTCGTGTGTTGTATCTGTCTCTCTTTCTCTGTCTCTGTCTCTGTGTCTGTCTCTCTGTCTCTGTCTCTGTTTCTATCTCTGTGTCTCTGTATTTCTGTGTCTGTCTCTCTCTCTGTCTGTCTCTCTCTCTCTCTCTGCCTCTGTATCTGTCGCTGTGTCTTTCCGTCTCTGTCTCCACTCTCTCTCGAACTCTCTCTGTGCCTCTGTATCTCTCACTGTGTCTCTGTCTGTCTCTCTGTCTCTGTGTCTCTGTCTCTGTCACTGGTTGTGCGTGAGAGCAAATAATGGATTGAATGTGTGACGTGTTTGTGATCGAGAGACGAGAGAGCAACACGACCTCTGGCCTCTGAGAGCAGCTACAGAGAAACCTGCTGTAGGCTTGGTGCAGTCTCTGCTCCAGTCTCTGTTTCAGTCTCTGCTTCAGTCTCTGCTTCAGTCTCTGCTTCAGTCTCTGCTTCAGTCTCTGCTTCAGTCTCTGCTTCAGTCTCTGTTTCAGTCTCTGCTTCAGTCTCTGTTTCAGTCTCTGTTTCAGTCTCTGCTTCAGTCTCTGCTTCAGTCTCTGCTTCAGTCTCTGCTTCAGTCTCTGCTTCAGTCTCTGCTTCAGTCTCTGCATCTGCGTGGGAGACTTGCTCTGGTCTGGTCTGGTCTCTTCTCTTCCCACGCACCGGGTGCTGCTGTCTTAATCTCTATAACTGTTATGTCTCTACATAAAACTCTTCACAATAAAGATAACGTTTATCTTTGAGGAATATAAACACAATCGTAACATAGACTATTTTCACTAAAATCACTTCTTCTGTAGCTTCTGTTTTGTACAAATGCTCACATGACTACGTGTCCCAGAATGCTCTCTGCTCTGCCCTACTTCCTGTCTGAAGCTGGTCTATGGCTGAGGCCCAAATATGGCACAGTAACAAGAAGAGCAGCGATGTCCAAATAAGGGTGACGCATAATATAGATATTATGTCCAAACAATGAGATCATTGTGGGACATTTCTCATGGTTTTATTAGAGATTTGACCAAAAAAGGAGAATCTGAGAATTACTTAAAAAAACACATAAACTAAAAATAATTTTCCAACGGTTCACATCTACAAGTGTTATGAACAAGCTTTCTATCAATGAGAGACTGGACCAGACTAAGACCAGACCCAAGACTAGACCCAAGACCAGACCCAAGACCAGACCCAAGACCAGACCCAAGACCAGACCCAAGACCAGACCCAAGACCAGACCCAAGACCAGACCCAAGACCAGACCCAAGACCAGACCCAAGACCAGACCCAAGACCAGACCCAAGACCAGACCCAAGACTAGACCCAAGACCAGACCCAAGACCAGACCCAAGACCAGACCCAAGACCAGACCCAAAACCAGACTAAGACCAGACCCAAGACTAGACCCAAGACCAGACCCAAGACTGCTTAAGTTTCAGACCCAGACTAGACCTGAACAAAAAACAAAACATTTGACCCAGATTTAGACCAAGACCACACATGTTACTACTTCTAATACTGCTAATACTGCTACTGCGGCTACTACTACTATTACTTCTACCCAGATACAGGATCCTGCTGATCCCTGTAGTGCAGCACTGGGGCCTGCACCACACGTTGAGACGCTGTAAACCGCTGACTCGTCCTCATAAACCACATCTGTTCGAAGCACAAACTTTTACTGAGACTCATTAAAGAGGAATTTAATTTAGAGAAAAGAGTGGGACTCAGCAGCAGAGATCTGAGGAGCCCTGAGAGTCACTATCTGACTCTTTGGGCGTTTGGCAAACAGCTGCTTTAAAGCCATCAAGAACCACACAGCTAAGAGACTTTTCCAATACTAACATGGGCCACCGTGAGAATGGGTTAGCCACGCTTCTAGTTTGCTCTGCTTTAGTCCTGCTATAGACCTGTTTTAGTTCTGCTTTAGTCCTGATTTAATATCTGCCTTAGACCTGTTTTAGTCCTGTTTCAGACCTGCTTTTCTCCTCTGTTTGTCTTTGCTATAGTCCTGTTTTAGACCTTTTTAGTCTTGCCTCAGAACTGCTTTAGTCCTGCAATAGACATGTTTTGGGCCTGCTTAAATCCTACTTTAGTCTCTGCTTTAGACCTGTTTTAGACTTGCTTCCTACCTATTTTTTTGCTGCTTTAGTCTCTGCTTTAGACCTGTTTTAGCCCTGTTTTAGACCTGTTTTAGTCCTGCTTCAGACTGGTTTTAGTCCTGCTTTAGTCCTGCTATAGACCTGTTTTAGTCTTGATCTTGGTTCAAGTCCAGTCTCTTCATTCTCTTCATCCCAGCTTTTATGTTCCTCGTGTTTCTATAATAATCTGAGTTTAATCCTATTTTTAAATCCTAACCCTGAACCACCCACAGCTTTAACTGGATTTACTGTGCTTGAGAGAATGTTTCCCTTAATGAAACCGTCATATCAAACCAGGACTAAAGCAGGTCTAAAGCAGGTCTAAATGTAAACATATAAATGAGTTTTAGTCTCAGAGATAATCGCTCAACTTGTCTTCATTAGGACTCGTCTCAAACTCTCGTCCTGCTGCCGTCGTCTCTGGAGTCATTCTTCCTGATTATAATGGCGTCCTGCTGTTGCCGTGGTAAACAAAGTGTCCGGGATAAACGGCCTCATTACCGCGGAGTGATCAAAGACACACGGAACAAATGTATATAATAACTATATGTATTTATCAAAGAGACTGAAGCAGAGACTGAAGCAGAGACTAAAGCAGACCTCCCTGAGATCTCTCTGGCCTTCCTGATGCCGGGATTAACGGCCTCACTGATCAAAGACACACTGAACAAATGTATATAATAACTATATGTATTCATGATGCTGTTTACTGAGTTAAAATTAGGACTAAAACAGGTTTATAGTAGGTCATGATGCAGTTTTCTCACCCCTGTACCCCCCACCCCCCACCCCCCTCGCTGTTTTTCCTTCCCAATACTGTTGACTAACCCCCCCTGTCTCTCTCTCTTTTTCTCTCTCTCTGTCTTTGTCCTTGCTGATACAGTTGACCAATCCCTCTGTCTTTCTCTGTCCTTCCTGATGCTGTTTACTGACCCCTCTGTCTCTCTGTGTCCTTTCTGATGCTGTTTACTGACCCCTCTGTCTCTCTCCTCCCTTCCCAATACTGTTGACTAACCCCCGAATCTCCCCCCCAGCCACTCTCTCTCTCTCTCTCTCTGTCTCTCCCTTTGTCTTTGTCCTTGCTGATACAGTTGACCAATCCCTCTCTCTCTCTCTCTCTGTCCTTCCTGATGCTGTTTACTAACCCCTCTCTCTCTGTGTGTCCTTCCTGATGCTGTTTACTGACCCCTCTCTCTCTCTGTGTCCTTCCTGATGCTGTTTACTAACCCCTCTCTCTCTCTCTGTGTCCTTCCTGATGCTGTTTACTAACCCCTCTCTCTCCCGCACACAGACATCCATGATGAGAACGGCCTGAAGCCGGTGATGGTCTATATTCACGGAGGGTCGTATCTGGAGGGAACAGGAAACATGATCGATGGAAGTATTTTAGCGAGTTACGGAAACGTCATCGTCATCACCATCAACTACAGACTGGGAGTTCTGGGTACGTGTCACTGCTGCTACTGTTGCTACTGATGTTACTGCTCCTACTGCTGCTGTTACTACTGCTATAACTGCTTCTTCTTTTTTACTATTAATACTAATGCTGTTTATGCTGTTTCTGCTACTGTTGCTACAACTACTAGTACTACTAGTAGTACTACTGCTGCTGCTACTACTTCTAGTGCTACTAATACTACTAGTGCTAGTACTATTACATTTAGTGCTTCTATTGCTACTGCTATTATTACTTATATTACTCGTGCTGCTACTATTACTAGTGCTACTATTACTACTGCTACTACTAATAGTGCTAGTACTATTACTGCTGTTTTTGCTACGACTTCTAGTGCTACCATTACTAGTGCTTCTACTACTTCTACTAGTGCTACTACTACTCAGGATCTCCTCCAGAGGGGGATCAGTCCCTCTCTGGCCATGGCCCTAGGGGGGATATCCCCCTCTCATTCTTTTTAGACATGCCTGTATACAATCATTTGAATACATCTGATCTGGTATACACTACTATTTAATCTATAATCTAATACATGTAGGATGATGTGAAAAAATTACAAAAAGTACAAACACAAAAACAGAAGGAAAAATATGTTATTATCGGAGCCTCCTCAGCTCAAATTTCCGATTTCCATTTGAACATGGTAACTTGCAGAATAGCTGTTCACTTTTCATTCATTCGTAGAATTCTTTTTACTGTTAATGAAAGTGCTGTGTAAGTAAGTAAGTAATCTTTATTTATATACCGCCTTTCACAGACCAGAGTCACAAAGCGGTTTACAATTGTTATTTTTTGGGCATTTATCCTCCACACAGAGATGGGAGCGGCTAAGGAAGAACCAGTGTCTTGTGTTCTGCGTCCTGATTGGCTAAGGGGCAATCTCCGTGCCGTATTTCCTGTATCACAGCATTCATTCTGACAAATGTAAATCGATGTCTGATTTCTAGCTGTGTGACTGTAAGTGCTGTATGCAAATGTTCTTCTGACAAAACCATGGACTAAACCTACAACAGATGAGAAAACCTGCCGCAGCACGGTTAGCACCCGTGCTAAAAAGTTAAACTTCTGGACATGAACGATGACAGCAAAGAGGAGCATGGTGCGGAGCCCAGGCCATTGACGAATGATTTTCACGCAGCACTGAGCCCATTTAACCGTTTAAGCCTAGTGTATTGTCACGCGGAGCTTACGGCGGTGGCGTGACGTCACTTGACCAATGCAAGGATCACCGCAAGACCCTTTCGTAGCCACCCCTGCTCCCTAAAAAATGTCTAACTACGCAGCCAACGCCGCAGAGAAGCTTCGTTGTGATTGGTCCGTGTGTGTTTGTGTTTGTGATTTGGATGGAAGCATGGAGCGGCTGCGGGAAACATGGACGAGGCACTTCGGAGCAGATAGCTTAGTGCTTTGAAGGAAAAACAGTTTGGGCTCATGGCTCAGAGCCTGAAATACACGGAGACTGTGGACTGGAGTTCTGTGTCATATGGAACATATATCGAACTGTTTTTTGCACTGTTCCTGTTCCCGTTCCTGTCTTTGTTTGAATCTGCACTCGTAGCTTATCGCGTCTGTTGCATTCCTCCAGCACTTGTAAATGGTTCATGTTTGTCTCAGATATTTATCACTTATTGTTTTGCTGTTTGTGCACAAATATTGTTCATGCACAAATATATGTTTTGAAGAGGAGAAAGTAGCAGCGTAAATGGGACCTCTTTGGTTTCTCAGGCAACTCCTGTGAGATCGCCATCATGTGGTTGGGAGTAGGATTACAACATTCTCTTCAAAACTCCGCCGGGGGACGCGCGATTGTACGATCAACTGTGGCTGCGTAGGTCTCCCAAGCTCCCTGCGGTTGTTCATCCCCGCTACATTCACCCACATGCCGGCTGTCATGATCCCCCTGTCCCCTCCACCACGTTCCCTGCCTGGCGTTCGCGGAATGCTTCCACCGCAGCCACACAGAGGACGTACACTGTGGCTGACTGGACTATGGCGCGGATTCCTGTCACAAATAATGTCTGTGTCTGCTTCACTGGACACCTGCGTGTCCTCCTCTGAATCTGAGTGAGCCAGTACTAGACCAAGTACTTCTCTGATCTCTGATACTGAAAACCTCATGAGTAAAAGAAAAAAACATTTTACTCTAATACTTTGAATATAAGGACCGCTGCGCTGTCAAGTGACGGGGAAATACACGGGAGTCACTATTAAAACTGTGTTTAGATTAAATTAAATCAAGTCAAATATAAAAAATATCATATTTATTGAGGGGAAAACATTTATATTTTACAAATGTCTGAGTCTGAAAACAGCTTTGGATCTTTGGTTTAATTCTGTCGGTGTGCCCCAGGGCAGCTGTGGCTACAGTAGTAGTTTATCACCACCGTGTTTGGAGTGAATGAATAATGACATGTAAAGTGTCTTTGAGTGTCCAAAAAAGCGCTATATAAAACTGATGCATTATTATTATTATTATTATTATTCTATGGCATTGTACTTTTGTGTTAAAAGTGAAACATGAGAAAATCCCTGTTATGACCAGTTAAAGGAATGTGTATGAATTGTGTGTGTTATTTTTAGAACGTTACCACGGTGATAAACGTGTGTGAAAACAATATTCTTAGGAATCGGACCCCCACCCCTTCCCTCGCTGGCCCCCCCTCAAATAACTTCCTGGTTACCACTATTGCTACTACTATTTGTGCTAGTACTATTACTGCTGTTGTTGTGTACTTTGGCAACACACCTCCACATGGTTCCAGCCTGTTCTGAGTCTGGGCTGTAGTGAGACGGCTGAGGTGCAGATCACAGGACTCTTCTGTCAGTCTGCCTCAGGGCAACTGTGGCAAAAACTGCTGTGTATAGAACCTCTGTTTCTTTGCCCTGATTTAAAGCTAATGGTCTAAAGCAGGTCTAAAGCGGGTCTAAAGCAGGTCTAAAGCAGGTCTAAAGCGGGTCTAAAGCAGGTCTAAAGCAGGTCTAAAGCAGGTCTAAAGCAGGTCTAAAGCAGATCTAAAGCAGGTCTAAAGCAGGTCTAAAGCAGGTCTAAAGCAGATCTAAAGCAGGTCTAAAGCAGGTCTAAAGCAGGTCTAAAGCAGATCTAAAGCAGGTCTAAAGCAGAACTAAAGCAGGTCTAAAGCAGGTCTAAAGCAGGTCTAAAGCAGAACTAAAGCAGGTCTAAAGCAGGTCTAAAGCAGGTCTAAAGCAGAACTAAAGCAGGTCTAAAGCAGGTCTAAAGCAGGTCTAAAGCATTTCCAGCCGTGTCACATTATCGTGGATGTAATGTGAGTTCTGTGGTCTACAGCTGTGAAACTGGACCAGGGCTAAAGAGGGTCTGTTTACTACTATCAGACACAACACAGATAATGTGACATCACAACTAAAGCTGTATATGTGCTGTATATTAATGCCTAATAAAGATAGCTGGAGCCAATTTCCCTATATGGGCCTTTGTTTTGACGATATTGCGTTAGAACGCTAATGAGGGCAGACATGTTGCTACAACGGTTGCTAAGCATTGGTCGATCCTTTTATGGCCCTTATCTTGATTTACGAAGACGATATCACAATATAAACAACAGGAGCAAGGAGAGCTTCTACTGCTACTGATATACTACTACTACTACTTCTACTACTGCTACTACAGATATTACTACTACTACTGCCACTACTTCTACTACGACTGCGACTCTTCTTCCTGAGAAGACTGAGGTCCTTCGATGTGAGCAGTCAGATGTTGCATATACTTTACCAGTCTGCGGTAGCTAGTGTCGGGTTCTTTGGGGTCGCGTGTTGTAGTGGCAGTCTGACCTCAAGAGACAGTAACCGGCTCGACAGGCTGATCAGGAAATGTGTGAAACTTTGTGATGGGGAGAAGTGTGGACTCTGTGGGAGCTGTGCTGGATGAGGGCTCTAATCAGGGGGTAGCACCAATTTCTGGGCCCATGGTACAAACACACTCGATGAGCCAGCACTACGTTAATGCATAATACATATACAAATAGAGACACACTGTAGAGGGCCCCTCCCTTACTTGGGCCCTGGGTACTCGGTACCCTTTACCCGCACGGTGCGGACAAAAGTCTTTAATTTTAACAGTGCACCTTATAATCCGGTACACCCTATGTATGAATTTCTAACTGTGTATAGCTCGGTCTGTTAACAGTGCCAAAATGTAAAAATCCAAGCCGGCACGGAAGACGGATGCGTTACCCGTGAATGAATGAAGCTCAAATACCAGATGCATGTGTCTGATTGCGCATGGAGTCTTGCCATGTCCCCACCTGCTTCAAATCCTCCATCATTGTCCTCATCCCTAAGGAGCCCAGGATCACTGGACTCAATGACTACAGACCTGTGGCACTGACATCTGTAGTCATGAAGTCATTTGAGCGCCTGGTCCTCTCCCATCTCAAGTCCTTCACCTCCCCCCTCCTGGACCCCCTGCAGTTCGCCTACAGAGCCAACAGATCTGTAGACGACACCAATAACCTGGCCCTCCACCACATCCTACAGCACCTGGACTCCCCGGGGACCTATGCCAGGATCCGGATCGTGGACGTCAGTTCTGCCTTTAACACCACCCTGCCATCCCTGCTCAACGTGCCCAATTCCACCTGCAGGTGGATCACTGACTTCCTGACAGACAGGAAGCAGCGAGTGCGTGTGTGTGCCTGCACAGATGCAGGTGCAGTTCTACACGCCCATCATTGAGTCCATCCTCACCTCCTCCATCACCGTCTGGTTCGCTGGAGCCACAGTCAGGGACAAACAGAGACTACAGCGCATTGTGCACGCTGCAGAGAAGGTGATCGGCCGCAGCCTTCCATCGCTGCAGGACCTGTACGTCGCCCGAGCTCGAGGCTGGGCTGGTCGTATCACTGCTGACCCTTCCTACCCTGCACATGGACTGTTTCAACCACTCCCCTCAGGCAGGAGACTACGGTCCATCAGGACCATAACCTCCCGCCATAAGAACAGTTTCTTCCCCTCTACTGTTGGACTCTTAAACACTTCATCACCTGTCGCCCCGCCATTTATAAGTCATCTCACGGCCCCTTACAAAGTCACCTTACTGTCCCTTATTAAGACACTTTACGGCCAATAACGTCACTTTACCGCTGTCACCTCATTGCACTGCTTACTGCATATTGTGTGCACCATGTGCACTTGTATATTGTAATTGTAATCGTAACAAATCTATTTTAAATGTTATACCTTAGAAGTGTTGCTGATTTTTATTATGCCTTACTCTATTCTCTATTCTTTACTTCTCTTTTCTGACTGCAATTTCCATCTTTCAATCTTGTTACTTACGTGGCAATAAAAATTATTCTGATTCTGATTTCAAACTACTCAATACAAAGTTTCGTGTCTTACAGTCCTTGTTTGTGCTCATGCACTTAGTTGTACCTGCGCCCAAACCACTTTCATTCAGTCTTGTGCAGGGCTCGACATTAACGGTTGTCCGCTTTCCCGGGGATTTGGGACGGGCAAGTACGCTGTTTTAGCAAGTTGCCCGACCGGGCAAGTGATGTATTACTTTAACCAATTCCTGCATTTCTTCCTCTGGAGCCGGGCGCGGACACGTCTGTTTATCTGTTTTTGACCAATTATTTTCAAAATGTTCCACGTATCCGCAATTCCCGACTGTTTTTGGCTGAAAATGTAATTTCTGTGAAATGTGTGACCGTGGGCACTTTCTGTTGTTTGCTGTACGTACTCGAACAGGATTTACATCCTCCGCTCTGACCCCGGGAGCAGCTGCGGCCGCTTTGTACTGACAGCCGCTTTGGGAACAGCTCAGTGAACACACTGCGTAATGTGGTACCGATCGTGGACCATGGACACGCAGACAGAACCATAGACACATGCGGACAGAACCATAGACCAGTGTTTTTCAACAGCTGTGCCGCGGCATACTAGTGTGCCGTATGATATTGTCTGGTGTGCCGTGAGAAATTCTAATAATAACTGCAATCACTTTTGCCAAGCCCGGACTCGTCTTGAACTGTAGAGTTACCACGTAATACTTTTTCAGGCCAGTAGGTGATAGCTAAATACTTTGAAGTTTAAGAATTGGATTCAACCACCAAATGTAACAAGTAGCGGGGTGGCAAGAAATGTGAGAATTGGACGCGACCAACCAACGTAAGAGGCAGCGGGGAGAATTTTGGCGAGTGAGAAGTGGATGTGATTGAGACGCTTTTGAAAAGGAATTAGGCCTTTTCTGAAAAAGATTCACATCCTCCGCTCTGACCCCGGGGCAGCTGTGGTCCGTTTTGTACTGACAGCCGCTTTGACAACAGCTCAGCGAACGCACATCCGTAACATGGTGCTGCACGCGGACCCTAGTCACGTGGACAGAACCATGGAGTCGCGGACAGAACCATCTGCGCGGTCCTTGACTCGTGTTCAGGACCATCTGCTGTGTCTCCCTGAGTCTCTCCTGTGTCTCTTGCCGAAGCGCAAAACTCCTGAATTTAAAGCTCGGATACCTACATTTTCCCCATGCATTAAAAATGCATGTTATTTGTGCAAAAAGTAAAATGTTGTTAAATCAAACAGAACACACATCAGGGCATTTTTGTATCATTATTTTTCACACATAAGAGCCCTCTGAGTCATTATTTGACTTTTTGGGCTGAGAGTGGATTTTTGTATGTTTTTTTTCCCCCCACAGTTTTTGCCACTTTATTCCCAAACTCTTGTTAAGTCATTCTATTGAGAAATATTTGGGCAAGTAACTTTTGACATCGGGCAAGTAAAATACAAATGGCACTTGCCCGAAGGGCAAATGGCTGACAAAGCTTAATGTCAAGGCCTGTTGTGGACGTACTTGAATTGCAAGTGCGTCCACTTAAATAGTCCTAGTTAAGCAACAAACTTTCCGGGGATTGTGTGCAATGTTCCCTCTTATTTTTCATGGGGCAGGGCAAAAGCACAAACCCCCTGAGCGGCTTTGAGCGAGAGATATCTGTAGAAAACCATTCACATTTGGATACACCTGCTGTATACACCTGCTGTATACACCTCCTATACACCTGCTGTATACACCTGCTGTATACACCTGCTGTATACACCTGCTGTATACACCTCCTATACACCTGCTGTATACGCCTGCTGTATACACCTCCTATACACCTCCTGTATACACCTGCTGTATACACCTCCTATACACCTCCTGTATACACCTGCTGTATGCAGCTGCTGTATACACCTGCTGTATGCAGCTGCTGTATATACCTGCTGTATACACCTCCTATAGACCTCCTGTATACACCTGCTGTATGCAGGTGTATACACGACTCCCACTGATGACTTAGCCCCCCGCTGAAAGATCTCAGCTCTTGTGGACTCACCACCTGCAGGAAGATCTGTGAGGGGCTGGTGCTCTGTGTACTGGGTGCAGCTATGACTGCCACCCCCCGACCCAGAAATGGATTAAGGGGAAGAAAAAGGATGGATGGATGGATAGAGTGTATTTAAACCTAGCATACATGGTTTTATTTAGTCATATGGCATTATAAAATAAAACACATAGACCAGTAATGATCTAAGATAATAATAGTCATATTGCCACAAAACCACCTTTACTCATTGTAAAAAAACTAGTCACATTTCAACAACATAATCTCTTTAATAAATGTTGTCAACGCTGGTTCAAACTACAGTTATCTGGACATAAGCACACACAGACAATTTACAGACCACAGTCTGGGTCCCGCTAGATGAAAAGCAGAATGACCAAGAGTGAACAAAAGAGCTCTGGTCTTATACCAGGGTAACATGATATTACCTAAACCAAAAGCAGAAGTCTCGGCTTCCTGCTTATTTAAACGTCTGTTTCACTCGTGACTGGGGGATGGGAGAATGCTGCTGATGTCCCATCACCTAGCATATTAATACATTTATTAATATGCTAATAAAACATACAATTTACTAACACTCAGCAATAGGCAACTTTGTGCTGAACTGAAGTGGACGCTGGTCTGCCCAGACCTGGTCTTCCCTACATAAGTGCGTTAGGTGTGTTTGTGGCTCCACGCACACACTGCAGCTGGTGTAGCGCTCGTGAGACACCTCTCCCAAGTGTGCGCAGTTGGTCAAAGCCCTGTTCTGGACCCGCAGCTTCAGACTTCTGTGTCAGCGCTTCTCCCGCACTCGCGGACAGTGAACCTCATGGTCACAGACAGAGAATCTCGGACTTCTTCATTTTTTTTTTTTTTTTGAGAAGGAAGTCTGCGCAGATTCACCGTGGTCCATACACTGTTGAAATATGCGCCCGCGTTGTTTGTGCTGGAGGCAGAGGACGCTGGATTGTCATT